AAAACGCACACCTTTTGGACAAATGTGCCACAAAAGTGCCACAAATACTGCCTAAACAAAAGACTGATTTTGTGCACTTTATTTACTGTACCAATATTTTAAATTGGCCTTTGAACTTGGCAAAAAAAGTGTTACCTTGCCAAAGCACTGACAGAGCCCACTGATTTAATGGCGTTGTTGAGCGCTACAAATGCAAACTTTGCATGCAACTATCAGGCAGCAATTGACAGCACTCTGATCTAGTGGCATACAGGCATCGTCAGATTGACAGTACTCTAGTCCAATAATGTTGGGGGATCCAGTGGGGGCGGCAGTCATATTTCAGGGGGACCGTGCCACTCTTTATCACAACCCTGCTAAAAGTGCCAGTACGTGCGCTCGTTGGCGCCCCTTCAGCTGGTGGCGCCCTAGGCGACCGCCTAGCTCGCCTATGCCTAGAAACGGCCCTGCCTACCAGTCAGTAATTTTAAAACATTAATAAACAAGCATCTAAGCATTACGACTACATAATAACAATACATAATAAACTTCTTCTTTGTCACTATAAATAAGTGTATCTTTAAAAATAGCTGCCAAAAAAGTTCCTTGGGTGTTACGGACAATGTCACGTGACACACGTGGGGGAGTGGAGGTCGCTTAATCTCAAAGTGAAATTTATGGTAGAATATGTAGGGTGAGTTCAGAAAAAGTGGAATAAGCCTAGTTCTCAAAGTAGTTTTTTTTATCCGTTTTTCGTGTAAACACCAGGAACCAATCAAATGCAGTAACTAACAATTGCCAGTAAGTTTGAATGAAATGCTATGCCCGTGTTCATTAGAATCAGCACATTTAAGTTACATTACTCCAGGGTTTATGGCATCACAAAAAAAAACCAAAAAAAAAAAACCTTGAACTGTGTTCACATTGGCCTACAGCTACTTAGCCATGAGTGTTGCTCAGTTTTATCCTGGAAGTATTTATGAATCTAAAATTCACGATTTAGTAAGCAAAATAGTTCTTACTTCATTGCAGCAACATTCCTGTAAACATCTAATGCAATGTTGACAAGGTTCTGCGGTAAAATGCTTCCAAATATAGCCTATTATAATTGTATTTTATCGCTATAAAACGTTTTCCCAGCGGTTATGAATCGAATAGCTTTATGGTAATACATTTGTGGGCTATGTGAGAAATAAAATTTGTCCTTTAAACGTCCGCAGTTCCATGACCCTGGACATTAATGAACTTACGTAAGACTTATAGCCTATGACCCGGGATATTTATTCAGCTTCGAGATTCTGTTCGGTCTCTCGTGGATCCATCATTTGCTCCTCTCGCGATAACGAGTCCCGATATATTAGGAGCAAACACGAGCACTCGTCCATTTGAAGGGGCGTCGCTGGGCTTCTTACAGGGTCCTTTGGTGGTGAGATTCAGAAGATAGGACATCATGTCTGACGCGGTGACCAGCTTCTTGAAGGATTTCTTGGCCGGTGGTGTGGCCGCTGCCATCTCCAAGACAGCTGTGGCCCCCATTGAAAGAGTCAAACTGTTATTGCAGGTACGTTTTAAAAGCAGAATAAAGAATTAATAATTATTCAGTTATATCAAATAGCTCAAAAAAGTTGCATGTGAGTCACAGCTGCATAGATTAAAAAGAGGGTGCCATGAACTTGCATTACAAGTTTTTAGTAAATGAATCAATTAATTAAACATAGTAGACTAACCAAAAGTACGGGTTTCACAGATAATGCATATACAACTTTTGGCGCTGTCCATGGTGCTACTTTATAAAGCGTTTCTAAGAACTGTCAAAAAGTGCAATTTCAGCACAGAGTCAGTTTAATTAAAGTTAAATTAATGTGTTTTTTCTTTCATTTAAGTAGTGCATTTCCCCCAAAATTTGTAAACACTACTACTATTAATAATAACACATTTAAATATTTGACCTTGACGATTTCCGTCACTCTTTCCATCAGTGCCAGAGTTCACAAAGGCCAATCATGTGTGTTAAGATCGGGACTGTGAGGAGCAGCGATATTTGGTGTAAGTTTAAAGTTAAAAATAGTCTGGAGGCTGCAACCCAATACTCAAACCCCGCGCACACATGGGGTGTGACGCCAAGTGCAGCTCGCGCACGTGGCCGGGCTGATCCCTGAGTGTAAAGAATTAAACTCTGAACCATTTTTATTTCAAATCAGAGACAGCTTTTGGCATTTCCCATACAAGATGATCATGCAGCACTGACACATAACCATAAATGAAATCTCGATAATCCACAACATATTCCAAAATTCATATATGATGTGATTACAATGATATAAAGTGTGCCATCTTCCATTTACCAATCCACCTGCTGCTTCACAGGTCCAGCATGCCAGCAAACAGATCACAGTTGACAAACAGTACAAAGGCATCATCGACTGCGTAGTGAGAATTCCCAAAGAGCAGGGATTCCTGTCCTTCTGGAGAGGCAACCTCGCCAACGTCATCAGATACTTCCCCACACAAGCCCTCAACTTTGCCTTCAAGGACAAGTACAAGAAGATCTTCCTTGGAGGAGTGGACCAGAAGACCCAGTTCTGGCGTTACTTTGCTGGTAACCTGGCCTCTGGCGGTGCCGCCGGCGCCACCTCTCTGTGCTTTGTCTACCCTCTCGACTTCGCCAGAACAAGGCTTGCTGCTGATATCGGCAAAGGCACAGCGGAGAGAGAGTTCAGTGGTCTTGGGAACTGCCTTTCCAAGATCTTCAAGTCTGATGGTATTAGGGGTCTCTACCTTGGCTTCAACGTGTCTGTCCAGGGCATTATTATCTACAGAGCTGCTTACTTCGGCGTCTATGATACAGCTAAAGGTAAGCAACTGATGGGAAACATCTGACGTGGATAAAACAAACTGTT